AAAAATAATCGAAATCTCGAATTCAAGCTCGAAGAACCATTGGGCTTCGATTTTTTGAGGTAATTTCGACTAATTTCCGTAAAATATGCATTGCCCATGTCGTTAACGCAACCAATTTCATGTTTAAAGCCCCTACAAATCGAATTGTATGGGCTTTTTTTTTTCGGTAATTACAGCTGCACTCCCAAGTTGGTCGGCCAAGTAGTGTTCAAACGCCCGATTCGGGCGTTTGAACACCCCTTGCTCGCCCAACTTGGGCGTCGGATGCAGCAACAAACGCTCGGTTTGGGCGTGAACCGGGCGTTCGATTTTTTATTTTTTTTTTGTTAATTCAATTATATTAATTTAATTAATTTAAAATATGTTTTATGTTTTTAGGATGTCTAACTGGATGAAAAAATTGGGAATGGGAAAAGGAAAGGGTCCCCTGATTCGTCCTCTTGCAAATCCGGTGGAGGAGAGTACTGCGGAACGGGAGGGCAGAACGCACAACCGTAATGTTACCAGTTCTAAACGTCGTGGGGAACGGACTGGTGCTTTTGTACAACCACGTATGACAATTGAGGAGGAGGAGGAGACAGAGGCAGAGCCCGAGCAGGAGATGGATACATATATGGATCCCCACGAGGACGAGTACGATCCAGGACTACGTTTTCAGCAGAAGTATCAGTTCCCGGTGCCTGATTTGCCATCCGATGATGATGACGAGGACGGTTTGACTCCGCCTCCGCCTCCGGCTTATACAATGGCTGGTACTTCCGGTGGTTCTACTCTTGCCCCAAACCCGAGGTCCCGGACCGGTCCGAAAAAAACTCTTCCTACTCGACCGTGGAAGTTGATTGGTGAGACACCCGGTGGACCAAAATACCCTCATTTGATTCCGATTTTTAGAGCCCATATTGCCTACGACATCTGGGAGGGAAAGGTAATACTTATTAATGTTAATAAATTTTGTTTAAAATGTTTATAGTTGATTTTCCTATTCTTAAATATCAATATATCTTCAATAGGTCCGACATATGCTGAAGTTGCGGTCTCATGCGAAGTCTACTTGGCCGGGCCCCGACGACTATTATAGTGTTTCACTATTGGAGAGTACCGGGTTGTATCACTTGCGTTATTGTTCGCTCCCTCAGCACAATAACCCGTTGATATAGGCTTTTATCGAGAGGTGGCAGCCAGACACCAACAACTTTCATATGCCGTTTGGAGAGATGACAATTACTCTCCACGAGGTGCACTATATCATGCATTTGCGAGTTAGTGGAAAGCGCCCTAACGTTTGGATTGATAAGGCAAATGCGATTTATGCAGGTGCGAGAGCGTTCGGTGTCGAGCCCCGAGATATGGAGAAGTGGTATGGCGGCGGATCCCGGTTAGATGATTTGGATAGGATGTATGGCGACGATTCTTCATTTGCTTCCGAGTTTCGGGTACGAGCATATATTGCGTACTTGCTTGGAAAGCTATTGTTTGTCGATAAAAGTGGATCGAAGGTGAAAGCAGATTTTTTCCCACTTTTAGAGCAGATCGATATGATTTCTGACTATTCCTGGGGTTCGGCTACATTGGCCTATTTGTATCGACAATTGGGCATGGCTACGCGAGCTGAGGCGGCGCAGATGGGTGGTTGTCTGACACTGTTACAGGTAATTTTTTATTTGTAGTAACCCCTCAATTTTTTCTTTTATTAATATCACCAAAATGTTATGTTTAATATGCAGAATCATTATTTTTGTAGTGTTGGATATATGAGTATTTTCCGTGTTTCCGGCCTCCGATGGTTAACGCACATGTGAATGGAGAGCCCTGGTGTAAGAGGTGGCAGGTGATACATCATATCCCTAAAGACGAGGATATACTTGTTGATTATCGTCGACGTCTTGATTCTATGCGTGCGTCAGATGTAAGTATCAAGTTTAAATAAATTAAGATTTATATATTTACTATGTCTATTAATACATTTCTATTATTAATACATACGCACAGGTGAATTGGACGCCATTTGGAGTGAATGTGTCACGTGAAGTTGAAAAGACGGTTCATCACGGGACTATTCGATGGATGGATACGGTCGAGCCTTACATGCCCGATAGAGTTTTGCGTCAGTTCGGATTTCGGCAGATTAAACCGTCGGACCCTATTCGTCCGCTAAAAGGTGCTAAGAGGGAGAGAAAATTAGCATCTTACAAAATTAGCTACGAGCCTGGCGATCAGATGTGGAATATCCCTCACACGCACATGCTTAGTGAAGATTATTATTGTCATTGGGCGCGTCCGGCTTGGGAGTCGACACCGGAGTATTTGCCGTGGTATATCGACCACACCCACGTCCGTATACATCCTAGTACCGAGCCGGTTGAGAGAGCGGAGCCATCTGCAGTTCCGTTTGTGTACGACATCACCCGGGTGTTGCATCCCTACTTCTACGATAACTTGCCACCGCCGACTATTCCAGGATATCGACAGATTCCCGATGACTTTTTCAGGACGATCCAGGACATGTGCGCCCCATTCGCCGAGTATCTACAGTTGGATCGTCCTAATGCTTCTAACGAACAAGACGCAGGATACTCACATATGCGACATTCTCAGCGCAGGCGTCGGACGAGAGATACGCAGGTGTTTATTTTTTATGTTTTTATTATTCGAACTTCTTTGGTGTTGATGTTTTTTGCTTTGATTTGGACTTGTTGATGTTTTGTGTTTTTT